GCTATGGGTTTGTCGTATATGGCCTTTATTATGTTGAGGTAGTTTCCCTCTATGCCCATTTTGTTCATAGTTTTTATCATAAATGGCTGTTGGATCTTGTCAAATGCCTTCTCTGCATCTATTGAGATGATCATGTGGTTTTTATTCCTCAGTTTGTTGATGTGGTGTATCATGTTGATTGATTTGCGGATGTTGAACCATCCCTGTGTCCCTGGTATGAATCCCAGCTGATCATGATGTCTGATTCTTTTGATGAATTGCTGAATTCTGGTTGCCAAAATTTTGTTTAGAATTTTTGCATCTATGTTCATCAGTGATACTGGCCTGTAGTTCTCTTTTTTCGTGTTGTCCTTGTCCGGTTTTGGTATCAGCGTGATGTTGGCCTCATAGAATGTGTTAGGAAGTGTTCCATCTTCCCTAATTTTTTGGAATAGCTTGAAAAGGATAGGTATTAAATCCTCTCTGAAAGTTTGGTAGAATTCCTCAGGAAAGCCATCTGGTCCTGGGGTTTTATGCTTTGGGATGTTTTTGATTGCTGTTTCAATCTCTTTCCTTGTGATTGGTCTCTTCAAATTGTCTGCCTCTTCTTGAGTGAGCTTTGGGAGATTGTAGGAGTTCAAGAATTTATCCATTTCCTCCAGGTTATCATTCTGTTGGCATATAGTTTTTCGTAGTATTCTCTTATAATCCGTTGTATTTCTGCAGAGTCTGTTGTTATTTCTCCCCCCTCATTTCTGATTTTGTTTATTTGAGCTTTCTCCCTTTTTTTCTTTGTAAGTCTGGCTAGGGGTTTGTCAATTTTATTTATCTTCTCAAAAAACCAGCTCTTTGTCTCATTGATCGTTTATACTATCTTTTTTGTTTCAATAGTTTTTATTTCTGCTCTGATTTTTATTAATTCTCTCCTTCTGCTGACTTTGGGCTTCATGTGTTCTTTTTTCTCTAGTTCACTTAGGTGTGTTTTAAGGTTGCTTATTTGGGATTTTTCTTGTTTATTAAGATGTGCCTGTATTGCGATGAATTTTCCTCTTAATACAGCTTTTGCTGTATCCCATATGAGTTGGTATGGCATGCCATCATTTTCATTTGTTTCCAGGTATTTTTTTATTTCTTCTTTAATTTCTTCAATGATCCGTAGCTTGTTCAGTAGTGTGTTGTTTAGTCTCCAGATCTTTGTGCCTTTCTCAGCTTTTTTCTTGTAATTAATTTCTAGCCTTATAGCACTATGATCTGAGAAGATGCTTGTTATTATTTCAATTTTTTTAAATTTGTAGAGGCTCGACTTGTTTCCCAACATATGGTCTATCCTAGAGAATGTTCCATGTGCACTTGAGAAGAATGTGTATTCAGCACTTTCAGGGTGGAGTGACCTATTTATGTCTATTAAGTCCAATTCTTTTAGTTTTTCATTTAACTCCACTATTTCTTTGTTGATTTTCTGTCTGGATGATCTGTCCATTGATGTGAGTGGGGTGTTGAGGTCCCCTACTATTATTGTGTTGTTTTTAACATCTTCCTTTAGGTCTGTTAATAATTGCTTTATGAATCTTGGTGCTCTTGTGTTGGGTGCATAGATGTTTATAAGCGTTATTTCTTCTTGATGAAGTGTCCCTTTGATCATTATATATTGTCCCTCTGTGTCTCTCTTTATCTGTCTTATTTTGAAATCCACTTGGTCTGATATGAGAATTGCAACACCTGCCTTTTTTTCCTTGCTGTTTGCTTGAAGTATTGTCCTCCACACCTTCACCCTGAGTCTGTGTTTGTCCTTGGGGCTGAGGTGTGTTTCCTGGAGGCAACAAATTGTTGGATCTTGTTCTTTAATCCATTTTGCCACTCTGTGTCTTTTTATTGGAGAGTTCAATCCGTTCACATTGATAGTGATTATCGATGTATGTGGACTTAATGCTGTCAATCTGTCGCTCATTATCTTGTTTTCCTGTGTTTCTTTTCCTGTGTGCTTTAGACTACCCATTTAATACTGCAATTTCTTATGCTGGGTTTCTTAGATTTTTCCCTATCTATGATTTGTGACTCTGTTCTGTACTTTATTTTAGTGTCTACCTTGAAGTTTGTATTTAGAATCTTGTGTAAAATATAGTCTATTCTCTGGTCGTCTCTTACCTACTTGACCAATACTGATTTAGACCCTTTGCTCTTCCCCTCCTAAATAATTATTTTCATTTTTTATTCCAACTCAGCTTATTAATTTGTAGTTAGAGTGCTAAGATCGTCCTTGTTTTGGTAGTTTCCTTACTTTTACCCTAATGCTATAATTGAATATTTGCTATCCTGTTCTGGTTCTATCCATCGGTCTCCCTAGTCTGTGGATTGTGTCCCCTTTCTCCCTTCTTTCTTTTTTCAAGTATGAGACCCTTCTTGAGGATTTCTTGTAATGGAGGGCTTTTAGTTACAAATTCCCTTAACTTTTGTTTGTCTGGAAAAGATTTAATTTCTCCCTCATATCTGAAGGAAATTCTTGCTGGATAGAGTATTCTTGGCTGAAGGTTTTTATCCTTCAAAGCTTTGAATATATAACTCCATTCTCTCCTAGCTTGTCAGGTTTCTGTAGAGAAATCCACTGACAGTCTGATCGGGGCCCCTTTATAGGTTATTCACTTTTTTTTCCTTACTTCCCTGAGTATTCTCTCCTTATCATTCCTATTTGCCAACTTTACTACGATGTCCCTTGCGGTAGGTCTTTTTACATTGACAAATCTAGGAGATCTAAAACCCTCCTCTACACACATTTCTCCATTGATCCCTAGATTTGGGAAGTTCTCTTCAATAATTTTGTTAAGTACACTTTGTGCTCCATTTTCCTTTTCCATATTCTCGGGAATTCCTATGATCCTTATGTTCTTACTCCTCATTGAATCCATTATCTCTGTGAGATTTTCCTCATTTTTTTTAATTGTTAGTTCTCTTTCTTCCTCTGTCTGGCGCCATTCAGACTGTCTGTCCTCGATTATGCTAATTTGCTCCTCTATGTTGTCTATACGGGCATTCAGGGAATCTGTATTCTATCTGGTCCATTGTGTTTTTCATCTCAAGTAATTCTGTTTGATTCTTCCTTATGATTTCAATCTCTTTTGTGAAGTAACTCCAGAACTTGGCTTGCTTCTCTATCTTTCTCTCTACCTCATTGAGTTTTCTGATTATAGCTGCTCTGAATTCATTATCACTTAGTTTACCTAATTCCAAGTCCTCAGGTCTCAATTCTGTATTTTTATTGGTTTCCTTCTGGTCTGGGGCTTTTATAAATTGCTGGATGGTAGAGGAGCGGTTTTTTCTCATGGTGGTAGAATTCCGTTGCAGTTACAGCCTGTCGCCACTAGATGGGGGTCGAGAGCAGCATGTTAGCTCTCCACCTTGGGGCAAGATGGCTGTGCCCACTGGCTTTGCTGGGGGGGAGGGGCTGTTACTCACTCTCACAGGTCTGGGTTCAGATCAGTTCTGTTCTCTGGTCTCCCAAGGCCCTTGATTTATAGGGTCCCCGGGACGGAAGCTTTCCCCCATCAGCGGGTCTCCACTGAATCAGCGGCAGGAGTCCTGGATGATCCCCCGGTCACACGGCCCCTCCCCCGCTCCTTCCCGACCCACGCCGCAGCTATCGCAGACTCTAGGGGAGGGAGTGATGTTCTCTCCTACCGTTCCAGCGCCTCCGAGGGTGTAAGCAAGGTTATGATCTCCGCCTTCTTGGTATTGTATGTCTCTAACGAGCTGGCATTATGTTTATTCTCTGAAATTCAGTTCTTCCAATCTTTTGTTGTATTTTGGAGGGGAGAGAATCCCGGGTCAGCTCACCCTGCCATTTTGCTCCGCCCACTCCCAATCTTGTTATTTTCTTATCAACTTTCTTGTCATTTTACTCAGGCTAAGTAGCAACTTGTAAAATAATATGCCTTTTCCCCTCTAGCTCATAACTTGATTGATTATATTACTTAATTATGTAATGTACACATATTCTAATTGAAATTGTTTCATAATCTAAATAATATTAAATATGTATTATAAGTTGGGTGAGGCTTAAAGTTAGGTCTCTAAAACTGTGGTTGTTGTGCTGCTGAGGGTAACATTACACCACGCTGCTGCCTGACCAGCCCCCTCCAGATTCATCATCTGATGCAGCTGTATAATAGTTATCATCTATTGTTACCCCAGCTGTAATTTCCTTCTCAATTTGTGGCTAAAACCCAACATTTGATGACTGTTTTCTACTCAGTTCAACATTGATCTTTGATCGTGTAGCAAACTTAAAAATACCTGTTTATTTTTTTTGCCAAAAATCTGACAAGATTGTATTGGGTGTCATCAGCAGTAACATCACACTTTATTTCCGTGAATAAAGATGAAAGAGCTGCTTTATTGTCCAGCTCAGCACTCATGCATTCAATATAGGATCATGTTTTCCAGCTTTCTATAACTATAGATATTTTCCTCTGCTTTCCAAATATGCTGTGGATATCACTATGTCAGATAAAATATAGAGATTTTTAGTAATTCTTAACAAAAATTGGACTGTCCATATTAACATGTACATAATCAGTTGCTAGAAGTATGTTGCTAAAAATGTCATTTTAACAGTACCACAGTCTAACCAACTAAGCTAACCAGCCTCCTAAAAATATCATTTTATAAGCATAACTTTTTATTTTCTAGTAATCATAATTTTCAAAGTCAATTTTAGTTTTGATTTGTCCTTAACATATTATCTTTATACTTCTTAGTAAAATTTATGTTAAATTTTAATTATTTCCAAGCTCTCTTGGTTTTCATATACAATTGTAATTTAAAATTGAATTAAGCTTCCCTATGTGAGTGTGTGTGTGAGAGAGACAGAGATGGAGAAGGCTAGAGAGCCTTCATTCATTCTTTCATTGCTTTAAAATAATAAAGCCTCAACTCCAACTTCTGAAGGACTTTCCTCAGTGATGCCATGTTTAATCTTCACTGCTTAAGAAATTAAATAATTCAGTTTTTCATTTGACTTTTTCCAGCAGCCTGTGATAGCTGTTCCTCTTGTGATGCCAATTAGCAGAAGGAAAGACGATGAGGTGTCCATTGGAAGTGCACCCTTGGCAAAGCAACAGTCATATCAGGCCTCTGAATATGCCAGCAGCCCTGTAAAAACAAAAACAGTAACAGGTAAGTGTCAAGAACTCTAAAGGGTCTGTGATTTTAACCTGCCTTTAAGCTAACAAGTTAGCCAGGCCACAATTTCATGAGTGCTGGCCAAAGACACGAGACTCCCAGAATGGAGACAAAGGACTTCATTATCTACAGCATTAGCAGTAATGAGTATTAGCGTTTTCTTTTGTCCCTACCCTAAGCCTGATTCCCACAGGGTGGCATGAAGAGGGCCAGGTGATACTCTTACAGGAGAGGAGCCCTCAATTTAGAGAACTTGAACCTTTTAAACGTAATGGGTAGAAAGCATAAGGTACACTATATGTACCTGGCAAGACTGAAAGTAAACTTGCCCTTTGCTCAGGAGGAGGACAGTATCTCTACCTTCTGAGGCTGTACACTGTCAATACCCTTGAAAACACAATTGAGAACAAAGGCATTCACTGTCTCTACTTGAAAGACGTACAAAAACACAAGAGACCCATGAAGAATGTCTGCTAATAGTATCTTCTTTCTTAAAGTGAATTCTGGCAAACCACAATACATCTCAATCTTCTTTCCTCCCCCTTCTCTCATTTTCTCAGCTAGATCATCTGTGCAAATATAGAACATAAATATTCTTCCATAAGACAATTTCTTTTATTTGTTTTTGTGTAATAAAAAAATACTTTATGATTTCACTTTAAGTGGTGTTCTTCTCTTTAACTTCTAATGTTTGTGATGATGGGCCACTTACCTTCAGTTGATTTTATATTTTTCCTTAGATGTTCAGCTTTATTTCGTATAACTCATATATTCCCAACCATATTGAAAAAGGTTTTATATTTTCAGTAAATCAAAAATCACTTATTAATTGTTTTTAATGGGCAAGACTCTGTTGTAATTGATATTGAGGGTAGAAATATTAAGACATAATCCCTTCCCTAAGGAATTTAAAATATGATCATAAGGAAGTTCCAACTAAAATTTGTGATTTAGAGGAAAACTTGGTATTATTTCCTTACCATATTTAACAATAGCAGCAATAAAAATGCTAACATAAGTTTTTTTTTTTTAAATTTTATTTGGTTTTTTTGGAGGAAGACTAGCCCTGAGCTAACACCTGCCAATCCTCCTCTTTTTGCTGAGGAAGACTGGCCCTGAGCTAACTCTCTGCCCAACTTCCTCTAGTTTATATGTGGGACGCCTACCACAGGATGGCTTGCCAAGCAGTGCCATGTTCCCACCTGTGATTTGAACTGGCAAACCCTGGGCTGCTGAAATGGAACGTGTGCACTTAACTGCTGCGCCACCAGGCCGGCCCCTGGAGTTTTATACATAACTATTATTCTTCTCTGCTCTTACTTTTCCTAAAATGTGGTGCTATGTTTATTTTGTGGAATCATTAGACTTCCACCTGTCAGCATCCACAAGCCTTTTACTTTGTTGAGATTTTATCAGTTAACAAAAATGCCTATGCTTAGTTTTTGTATCATAGGAAGATGATCTGTAACTTGTATTGAGTTTTTAGTATAAAATTAGATATTATTTCCTTTAGATACTATACTAGAGTTTCAGACTTCAGATTTTTTGAACTGGTAATTTACATAAAGAGGTTTAAAAGATCACCTGTAAATAAAATAAAATAAATATCCACCAACTGTCAATTGATTAAAATAAATTTAATCTCAATATGTATATTAACCGCATATTCTGACCTTCTGCTTTACTCTTTAGTCCTTTTCTTTAAATTGTACTTGATAATTGATTTAAAGTAATTCTTAAGAATGAGTAAAGATGACAGGAGATGTTTATGATTTAAATGAAATTGTATGGCATAGAACTATAGAAAATAAGATCATACATTTTAGAATGTATTTGATACACTTGAGAAGTTTTATATATAAATTCATATCTCATAACAATTACATATCAATTCGCAAATGATATCAATTAAGATCTGAGATTTATTTTGCTTTCCTATACTTTCCCATTTTTTATAAGAAATTAATATTAATTTTATATTGAGGAAAGTATTAAAACCTGAAAACATAATTTCCCGTCACTAATTATTACATTATAAACTATGAAGACATATACAAATAACAAATTGTTCTTTATTTCAAATTACAAATGTGAACTGTGTTTTTTGCTGTTGACTTGTAGATATTTGCTTTTTCTGTTTTAAGAGTTTCCCCATCTCTAGAGCCCTTAGGTTACATACCCTATATGTATTCTCTTTCTAGGTAAGAAATAAGTTATTTCACCAAATATAAATTCTCACTCAAGCTAGCATAACAATGAACGGTTATCAGACTAATGCCTGTGCTTACCTTGTTTGGGGACTGTAAGATTTATAGAAGGTAAAAAGCCCTGAGTGCAGAATTTATTCTTTATGACTTACATATCTTCCCCCTTGGATGCCCACCATTTTCACTTGTCTGGAAACATAGGTGGTAGTGCTCTCTTTTCTTGAGAATGATCTTTGCTAACCATTTTCTGTACTTAGAATTGTTTTGAAAATTTGTTTTATTTTTTATTAGACTATACAGTTTCTGTTTTGGTTTTAATTTGAAAAATGTTTTATGAGTCCTCTGAATTTGTACTTACTTCTAAATGTAGTTATCCCTGTTTTAATTATTATTTACACTGCATGATAAACTGTAAGGAATTTGGTAAGGTATTCACAGCCTTTTACCCATGTTTTTTGTTGTTTTTGTTTCACTTTTACCATCATAACCCTTTTAAGTGTACAATTCAGTAGTATTAAGTATATTCATATTATTGTGAAATGCATATTTTAATTTTTTAACTGAACTTACAGTGGAGAAATATTAGTGTTAATTTATGCCTGAATTCTTATTAAAATAATTTTTTATTTTTATATTGTTAACTTAAGGTCCAATGTTAGTCTGAAGTTCATCCCCAACAAGTTATGTAGTATTTTTTTTTTTCTGCTTTATCTCCCCAAACTCCCCCTGTACATAGTTGTATATCTTAGTTGCAGGTCCTTCTAGTTGTCGGATGTGGGATGCGCCTCAACGTGGCCTGAAGAGCGGTGCCATGTCGGTGCCCAGGATCTGAACCCTGGGCCGTCGCAGCGGAGCTCGCAAACTTAACCACTCGGCCACACAGCCGGCCCCATATGTAGTATTTTTGACACATGAAAACCAAGGCTTGGTGATACTGCACTGGGCTTGATTTTTCTTTTTAATTATTCAACACGAAGCAGGCATCTTCCTCTTCCAGTCTCAATTAAACAGTGTTAAGTAGGTGGTTGCAGGGAGAACATGTGCATGATGGCTGGGAATGTGTCGACAGCAGAACAACACTATTTCAGTGATACAGGCACATAGGGCAGGCTAAGCCAGAATAAAAGCATGTTTTACATGAAGATAATATATTATCATGTGAAATTCTAAATAATCATCTAGGGAATCTGTATATCCTTCAAAACAAGGAAACCTCTAAAAGCTATAACATCTGTTTACCCTATGTTTTGGAAATGTTAAGAACATTAATTTGGAACTCGATGAAAATGTCTGTAATGGAGATGAAAACTTTAAAAAGCAGGATACTCCGTAAGTGATAGCTCTTTAAAAAGTAGTAGCCATTTTTATCTTACATGTTTATATATTATTTTTAAAGTCTAAAGCAGTATAAGTACACAGCTAAAATAATAGAAGGCTTTTTAATTTGACTCCTCAAATACTACCAAGATAATAAAAAACGTGATGATTAATGATGTAAATTTTAGTAGATAATGCCCCAGATTAAAAGTATGGAACTTTAGCTTCTGACCATGATGGAGTAACAGGGACTAGATTTATATTCCTGATGCAAATAACTAACAAACTGATCAAAATGTATGAGAGAAAAAAAAGTTTCAAGACATTGGACAATATGCAGTGCAGGACTGTAATCCCTCAAAGAACGGAAACAAGTGAGTTGAGCCCTAGGATTGCCCTGGCTTTCTGGCTGAAGGCACATTCCAGACCACAGAGCAGGGTGGGATATGTCAAGGTAAGCTCAGCTGTCTTACTGAATTGAAGTTCAGGGAGGCAGAAAGATTGAAGTATAAGAAAGCAGAGAGATGACTAGGAATTATGGGACAAAGTTCCAGAGAGAAAAACTACACAGCAAAACAGGGACTGGAAGGGATTCAGATTCCTACTGTCCATACTATAAAATTCCCATTGAGGATTCAGAACATTCAGCAGAGACCCCAGAAAGGGCATGCCTCAGTAGTGGAGCTAAACTGTCCGTAGAGTAAGGGCTACCCCAGACCTGCTGTAAACAAGGTTAAAAAAAGCCTCTGAAGGAACCAAAACAGTGAGTAAGTTAACTGCTGGCAAAATGAAGCCTAACACTATTACGAGAAATACAACAAGATGTAGACATGTAACAACTTAAGTCAAGCATTCAGTCAAAAACTATTAGGTATACAAGGATTCAGGAAACCTTGACCAGAAGAAAAACTAGCCAATAGAAATATACTGAGAAATAACATAGAATTGTCAGGTATATTAAATACTTGAACATTAGAATAGGCTTAAACTATGTTCGGGTATTTAAGGAAAGATGAATACATTCTGGAGAGAAATGGAAGATATAAAAAAGATCGAAGCCCAACTCTAGAGATGAAAAATATAATATCTGAAATGAGAAACTCACTGGGTGGAATTAGCAGTAGAGTAGACACTGCAGAAGAAGAAATCAATAAACTTGAAGATGAAGAGATAGAAACTTGCCAAAATGAGGGGTCCGGCCCTGTGGCCAAGTGGTTCACCCACTCTGCTTTGGCGTCCCAGGGTTTCACCAGTTCGGAGACTGGGTGCGGACATGGCACCACTCATCAGGCCATGTTGAGGCAGCATCCCACATGTCACAACTAGAAGCACCCACAGCTAAAATATACAACTAGCTCAGGTGCCAGTCTTTAAAAACAAAAAAGAAACTTGCCAAAATGAAACACAAAGAGAATAAAGGGAAAACAATGTACAGAGCTTTAGTGAACTGTGGGATGATAATTAATTAGG